CGCTTTATTGGGCCTTTTGAGATTTTGGAGTGCATTGGGGAAGTGGCATATCGGTTAGCTGTGTCACCACCACTATCTGGAGTTCACGATTTTTTCATATTTCTATGCTTCGGAAATATGAGCCCGATCCATCTCACGTGTTGGATTGGACTGAGTTAAAGATGGAAGAAGATATCTCTTATGAGGAGAGACCGGTGAGGATCTTAGACACTCAGGATCAGGTCTTGCGTGGCAAGACAATTCCCATGGTGAAAGTGTTGTGGAGACACCACGGGGTTGAGGAGGCGAATTGGAAACGTCAGGCTAAAGTTCGTGAGAAGTATCCAGACCTTTTTATTGATGTTTGAGAGTTGTAATAGAAATGTTATTTTCATATTAGGATGTTCATTGTATACGTTATGGAATAGGGTGAATTTCTTATGTCTAATTGGGAGGTTGTGTTATCATGCCATGATTGCATTTCTACGGTTGTAATTGATTTTGATTTAGCGAGGTTATCTAGTTTAAATTTCGGGGAGGAAATTCCTTAGGAGGGGAAGGTTGTAACGAGTCAAATCAAATTGAATTTATACTTTAATCTCAGCTGGGGATTTATTTTAAATTATTAAATTTCATTCATTTTGGACCCAATTTATTGAATCATGACCCGTTAGTAACCATGTAATATTGTTGTGGCTTTATTATTACTATTTGATTATCATAAAAGAGTTGTGAATATTTATGGTGTGTACCATTAAACAAAATATATTTTGTGGTGAGAAAATATTATATTTACTTTTGTCATTAAAGATGTTGAAATGTATTTTTCAATTGATATATATATAGGTGTATATATATGGTCAGATAATTGTTGTGGTTAGATATTTTAAAATTGACATATATATATATATATATTTGTTTAGTTAGATATTTGTTTCGATTTCTTTTTTTCAACTTTTAGGAAACTGCCAAGAGGAAAGAAGAAAAAAAGGGGTTCCAAGTTGGTTTTTCATGGGTTTGATCTAGTGTAAGTCATTTTTGACCCCTAGTGCTTTGGATCAAAACTTAGAGGGCGAAAAAGGCGTCGTTTGGCTCCAAACAGATTAATTTATGTTGCCAAAAAAATTTGAAAGCTTCTTGGCTTGAGGTAGGCATTTTTCCTACACTGCTTTATGCACTTTTACTTGATTATATGAAGCTTAGAATTGTACATAATTTAATTAGAATTTTTGAAAAATTTGTGATTTATTTGCTTAAAAGAGAAATTTTGAGAAAAATAAAGAGTTGATGCCCAAATTGCAAAAGTGTAAACTTGGAATATGTGTGTAAGGTTATGAAAGAGCTATGTTTTAAATTTGCACAAAAACGAATTTCGATTCGATCGATTTTGAAATTTTTACCAGTATGCGACCAAAAGAGCATTTTTAAAAAAAACAAAGGAATTATGTTTATCTTTTGGGGTTTTTGATCAAAATAGGATGTCATAGTTGAATAATACTTGGAGAATGAGTTTGGAAAGAAAATGATATTTTCTTGGGCATTAATGGTGTTATTTTGCTTAATGTATCTGTTGGAATAAAACCGACACGGTTAGAAATTGACCTTGAGAGGTTACCGGACGTGATTATGATATGAAAACTAATGTAGTTGTTCATATTTGATGAGATGTGGAATAGATTGTATTTATCGGAATTTTTGGAATTTAATTGTTTAAATATCTGTTTTGGGCTATCGGTGGAGGATGGCCATGATTATTGTAGAAATGCATGAGACATAGGGAAATTGAACCACATTCTTCATTTGTTACATTGGACATTGCATTACATTCATTTCAGTGGAAATGTATCTGTTTTAGAGAAATGTTTGGAAATGTATCTGTTTGCAAAAAGATGAATACTTTGTGAATCTAGGTAGGGGGTGTAAAACTGTGCGGTTAGGTGTCGAGCCTTCTAGTTTACTGGTAAAAATGACAGTGGTAGTGCATTAGGGCCTACTCGTAGACGCTCACCTAGAGATTCACAGAGCCTGTATTCATGTAACAGATATGATTTAAAATGGAAATGGTTTTATATCAGTTGTTGCATCTCAACATTGCACGCTTTATAAAAAGAGAGATAAACTATTTTATCATAAGCATGGTATGAGCATACTCCTCTTTAGTCTTGTCATGGTCCATATGTTGTGTAGTACATCTTTACTGGGCTGTGGCTCACCTTATAAAAGAAAACATTTCAGATACATGTGCTATACCTCCGCCAAGGCATTGACTTGGGAGGACTCAGAGCTGAGACTTCATTTTTGTTTTATGGTTATTTATTGAATGTAAGCCTAGGGTTGTATTTGCGTTGAGTTGAAACTCTATTTTGTGTAACCAAGAATGTTCTTGGATAAGTTTGTAAGCCTGTAGGGCACTTATTATCTGTTTGGCTTCCATTTCATATTTGTTGTAAAATGCATGCTTGGAATTGGAACTCGGGCATGTGAACAGTATTTATTTGGCATTTGGGATTAAATGAAAATGGTTGTATGGAATAGTTAGCTATATATATGTGTTTGTCTATCAGGTGGGTTTGTTGTATAAATAGATATACCCGGCCCAAATTTTCATTTGAGAGTAATAAACAATTCAGACAATTTTTCATTTCTTACACCTAAAATTAAAATTAGGGTAAGTTACACTGATACTCCCTGAGGTTTATGTTTATTACAGTTCCCTCCCCTCACCTTTTGAAAATTACATCTCCCTCCCTGAGGTTTAAAATTTCATTACAGATTTCTTCCTCAGCAATTTAATTTTTTTAAATACCAATTTTTCCCTCACTGGGTAAATTACATTGACACCACTCACATTTTAGAAATTACAATTGCTTCCCTAAGGTTTAAAGCAGCATTACCAATTGTCCTCTCAGTTAGTATTAGTTGGAAAAAAAATTCATTGAAAAAAAAATTATTTGGAAAAAAATTATTTGGAAAAAAAAAATTATTTGAAAAAAAAAATTATTAGTAAAATTTTTAAATTTCTGTTTAAAAACCAACGTAAACTTATTTTTTGAATTTATGTTTTTTTTCTCAAATTTACAAGTTGAGACAACAATTTATAAACCAAAAAAAAAATTATTAAACAAGTTTTTATGATAGTTTTTTTAATTTTTGTAAATATAAATTGAAAACTGAAAACGAAATGGTTACCAAGCAGGCCTCAGATGGTAAAAATGTCGTAAAATTAATAAATAATTAAATAAGTTACCAACATAAGAAATGACTTATCAAAAGATTCTTAGGCTATGTATGGTTTGATTTTTAAAATTTTTTTTAAAAAAAATTAAAAATTAATTTGGTTAAGAAATAAAAAATAAAAAATAATTATGATTTAAAGGTAAAAAATAATTATCATTTTAACTTTTGGGCAGGTTATATACATGCATATGGTTGTTTCAATTTAGTTTGTAAAAAAATTTTTCTTACCACTCGAAAGATAAAAATTATATAAAAATAATAATTATTTTTTATTTTTGTAAAAAATTATTTTTTATAATGGCTGTCTCAGTTTAAAAATTATATAAAAAAGATCATTCACATTTTTTAAAAAATCTAAAACAAATATAAATATTTATAATTATCTTGTGCATAGCACGGGTGATAGGCTAGTAACAATTAAATAAAAGTGCGAAATAATATAATTAAAACAGACTTAAGGGCGTTTTTTGGAACTCATCTGTTTCGATAATTTAAATTATTTATTTTGTTAAACTCTTCGTATATATCACTCACATACAAACAAAAAAAAATAAAATTAAGTCGATTTGATAAATGTAACATATCTAATTTATAGCATTTGTTTATAAAAATAAAAAAAAAAATAGAACGCAAACATATTTTTAAAAATAGACTATTTATTTTTTGGGTACAATAATCGTATTAACCTTTTTGTTTTTTTTTGTGGATGATATATACAAAGAGAACAAAAAAATAAATAATTTAAATGATGTTACACGCTACACCTTTAAATAACTAAGAGTATCTTTAACGTTGTATCTTTTATTTTTTTATATATCAAATTTGAATAAAAACTCCATCTAATATCACGCCCTCCAACGGAGGATTTGGAATTTTCATCAAAACACCGGTCGACCGAACGAATGACCAGACAAATGTCACACCGATCAACCAACCAATGTAATTTTTTCACAAATTTTTGCAAGGAAGTGATCGTTCAGGAGGACAACTAGCCGGATATCTGACCGGTCATCCGGTGGTAAAAATGACATGCAGCTCCAATGACTGTGAACAGTGATTTAATGAAAGGCACATCCATCCTCAATTTGATAAAAGATTTGAGAAATCTTGAATTTGATACTTATTTGGTGAAATGATTGAAGTAAGAAAAAGCGTCTATTTTCATCATATTTAAATTTGATAAAACAAAAAATGTTGGGTTGGAAATGGTCTATGGACCTAAAGTTTACATATTTCTTTCCCATTTGTTTTAAATTTTCAAATTTCTACTTAACATTATAAAGAGTTCAGTGTAAAACAATATATGAATCATCAGAATGTTCATTTTAGTTCATGTCAATTTCCACTTGTTCGTAGCATTGGAAATTCATCTTTTTATTGTTGTTTTGTTCCGCTTCGGAGTGAAAAATTAGTTACCATTTTTGTTTCCCAAAAACATATTAATGGTAATTTAGATTTTCTTTTAAGTTGTTATTTTCCTTGCAAAGTAGATAAATTTATTTTTTTTTCTTTACTTATTGCATTTTCCCTTTGCTTACCTTTATTTTCTAATTTTCCAAACACTTTGGCTCTAGGTAGTGTAATAGCATTACATGTTGGCTCTTAGGCAAGCCGACATATTTTTATTCATAGTAGGCATACAGTACAGTCGGGTTAATACACAAAAACAAACCACCGAATTCTCACATGAGTTCCAAAATAAGTGGGTCCATTTTGGATATTATCTCATTTGAGACAATTGTAATGGTGGTTGGTTCTATTTTATTTCAATAGAGCATTGATGCTTTTTTTTTTTTTTTTAATTATGCGCAATTTGACGAGCAAGAACCACGCCATCAGGCATGGGCGCGACGTAGCACTTATGGTTGTCGGTCTTGATATCGGTGGTGCCACCAGAGCCGATAATCAACTCGATCAAGCCACCAGCGATTCCGGCCAGGATAAAGGCTCCTAAAAGGCCAGTCGCAAATCCTGCCATGGCCACGAACATAGATGTTGCCTCCACACCAACCAAATCGGTTGCGATCGCAGCTCCAATAATATCCCCCAATATCGCTCCACCCATCGCTGCTGTGCTGACTACGGCATCGTGTGTCGCGGTTTGAATCTTGTGGTCAGACGAATATATGTCCCACACCATCAGGCCTGCGGTGATAACTACCACCGCAGCGCCACCAATTGACTTTGCCTTGGATAACCATGACTTTATAACACTTCCCCGCCCAGATGCCTGCATGATATCGTCATACACCTACATACATACATAGATACATACATACGAATTAATGTAATATTAATTAGCAAACAAGTAAGAAAGGAAAAACACCTGCCAAATAAAAGAAGCTAAGGAATTGAAATATTGTCATACGAGTCATACCAGTATCTTGTCTTCCTCTTTCAGGTCTTTGAAAAGCCCACCAAGTCCACGAATGTACTGGTATCTGCATCATGCATGAGTGATGCATAAATTTGATGGAGTGATGCATAAATTTGATGGAATTATGACACCTTGAAAATCCGAAGTTTCCAATATTACCAATTTCATTCTCACAAAAGTTGTGAGAAAGGCAAAAGTGGAGTTCTATGTATTTTTATTCATTTGACTTTTTAAAGTCAACAGCTTTTATAAAACAAACCAAAAAAAAGTCAATTTAAAATATTAAAAATTTAATAAAATATTTAAAAAAAAAGACAAATAAATAAATGACCAGTGATTGAATCCTCATTCTCGCAAAAACCCCCCTTAAGACCTCACAAATCTGAATGGACCTCACGCATGGGCCCACACATACATAGAGAGCCAAAATCACCTTGAAAGTATGGAGATCATCCCAAGAAGGGTCCAAACATTTTTCTAAATAGATATATTACAGCCAGTTTAACACATACTTTTGCACAAGTTTGTCAAACGTGAGGCCCTGCTGGTTGACCCATCGCGAGAACTCAGTTGACGCAGAACTTCGATACTTGTTGATAAATTTCAACATAGATTCCTTGTATTTGGCTGCTTCCTCTTTCAGAGTCGACACATCGCTCGGATTCCCCGTGTTCAGATTTCCCAATTCCTTGATGAGGGATTCCACGTGAGTGCTTATTTTACTCAAATAATCCTTCCTCACCGTGCAGTTGCGAACAGTTTGGAGTGCACTGTTGGCGCAATACACGATGTACAAGAAGATGTCCTCGGCGATGGGATAACGAACAGCATCGTTCTGGTACTTTTTTTGCAACTCAACTCCTTGGTCCAAAAGGCCTTCCACGGTGTTGTGATTGTCTCGGCAATCTCTGAGGTATTTGGAGCGTTCCTGTTCGGATGGGAAGTTGATGCTTTTTATTGCGTCTACTTCTTTGTACCATATTACCTTAGCAAGTTGGCGCACTTTCTCAACATCTTCCAAAATAACAGGGCTGGCCATTTGATTTGATCGATTGGTGAGGAGAGACAAAGAGCTAGCGCTAATGCCTAAATGATGGTCGACAAAATGGATATATTTTAGGCATGAATATGAACATTTATTTATAAGCGGACAGACTCTGATATCTTATTAAAGTATCCAACTCAAAACCAGTTAGTTATGAGTGGAGAGACTGTAAATCTAGAAGACATACACTACCTGTTCGCATATTATTAATCGAATATTTTTGTGTAGATACACCCCTATCTGAATCTTATCCGAAAAATCAAGGATGAATTCGACGTTTCGCTTTCAAGAGGTGTGCTATGAAAACAGGTTCTATATATGATACTACTTCTTATCTAGATAGACTAGATTGGAATAATAATAATAATAATAAATAAATAAAAGAAAACAAAGGTCGGTATAAATATAAACTTAGTCAACTCAGCGAGTTAATCTCAACCAATTTACTGATAATTTTCTTTAAAAAACACTAACGATATTATTAATCGGATCAAATTAACACAAAATTTAAAATTAAGGATAAAAAATGGGGCTAATTGAAAGTGTCGGGACCAAAATGACATAAGAGATAAAATTTAGGAACTACCGGTATAATTTGTCTATAATAACATATTTGTAAATTCTAATTGTCTTTATGCAACATGTCATAAAAGTCTAATTAAAACCAGCTTAGTTGGCCATCATGAGTTCAACTCTCATTGAGTGCTAATTATGAGTGTTAAGGAAGAAAAAACGGTTCCGTTTGGTTAAGTTTTGGAATTATGATTTGAGTATAAAGTTGTGATTTAAGTATGGAATTATGGTTGAGTTTTGAAAGAAAAAAAAAATTGTTTGGTTATAAGTTTTAAAAACAGTCTTGAAAAGAATTTTTGAATTTTGAAAACAATTTTGAGTTTGGAAAGAGTTTTGAGTTGCGTTTTGAGTTTTGAATTTTTGAATTTTTGAATTTTGAGTTGTATTTTGATTTTTTTTGGATTTATTTTTTTAAATATTAAAAATGTTTACAAAAATATATTCTTTTATTTTAAATATATAATTTTTATTTAAATATTTTTTTTATTTTAAATATTTTATTTTGTAAATATTTTAATTTTTGTAATTGTAATATTTTAAACTCAAAACATAACTTCACACTCAAATTGTAACCAAACACAACTCAAAACTCAATTCAAAAACTATTTTAACACATAACTCAAAACTCAATTCAAAAACTATTTTAACACATAACTCAAAACTCAATTCAAAAACTATTTTAACACATAACTCAAAACTCAATTCAAAAACTATTTTAACACATAACTCAAAACTCAATTCAAAAACTATTTTAACACATAACTCAAAACTCAATTCAAAAACTATTTTAACACATAACTCAAAACTCAATTCAAAAACTATTTTCAAAACTCATAACCAAATACATAACTCGAAACTCCACACTCCTTTCAAAACTCCACGCTCAAATCATACTCAAACACATTGCAAAAAAAATTAAAATATTTAAAAACATATTTATAAAATAATAAAATATTTAAAATAAAAATCACATATTTAAAATAAAAATATATATATTTTTAATTTTTTAATATTTAAAATATTTTGAAAAAATAGAACACACAAATGTATGAAATACAGTGCACATTAAAATAAATAAATAAATATTTAAAATATAACATATTTACCCTACAAAAATAAAATTAAAAAATTTGTTACAATTTTAAAAAAAAAAACAACAAAATATCAAAATATAACTCAAATTTTTTTTCAAAACTCATAACCAAACAAACTTTCCATTTTCAAAACTCAAAACTCAAAATACGACTCCACACTCATATTATGATTCTACAAATAATTTTTACAAAACAAAATAATAATAAAAAAAAAATTTGAAATTTTTTTTTTTTAAAAATAGAGTTTTGAAAAGAGTTTGGTTTTGAGTTTTGAAAGAATTTTAAATTGTGTGTTTAGTTATGAATTTTGTAAAAAAATTTAAAATTTTTTGATTGGAATTATAATTCCAAAAGATAACCAAACGCAATCAAAATTTTGCTTTGTAAGGGTGGGAGAGGTTAACTCCAATGGAGGGGGAACAAATTTTTCGCACTCCAATGGGTGTTAAAGCTTCTAGAAGATATACACTACTTATTCCCATATTATTGATAGAATATTCTCATCAAAATATTCTCATCAACAACAGGACCTGTTTTTATAGTACACCTCTTGAAAGAGAAAGGTCGAATTCGGCCTTGGTTTCTTGGATAAGATTCAGATAAGGATGTATCCACACACAAAAAAATATTTAGATGAGAATCTGTAAATCTAGAAGACATACACTACTTGTTCGCATATTATTGATTGAATATTTTTTTGTGAAGATACATCTCTATTTGAATCTTATCTGAGAAACCAACAATGAATTCGACCTTTCACTTTCAAGAGGTGTGCTATAGAAATAGGCCCTATTTATGATACTAGTTATCTAGATAGACTAGATTGGGATAAAGGATACAAACCAAACAAAACTAACCTAAAAAAAACAAAACAAAACAAAAGTTGGTATAAATATAAACTTATTCAATTCAGTGAATTAATTTCGACCAATTTAGTGATAATTTTCTTTAAAAAACACTAACGATATTATCAATTGGACCAAATTGATACAAAATTTAAAATTAATGATCAAAATTGGGCTAATTAAAAGTGTAGGGACGAAAATGGCATAAGAGATAAAATATAGGGACTACAAGTGCAATTTGTATATAATAAAATATTTGTAAATTCTAATTGTCTTTAATGCAACATGTCATAAAAGTCTAATCATAATCGGCTTATTTGGCCATCATGAGTTCAACTATCATTGAGTGTTAATTATGAGTTTTTAAGGAAGAAATAAAATTTTGCTTTGTGAGGGTGGGAAAGGTTAACTCTAATGGAGGGTGAACAAATTTGTTCTCACTCCAATGGGGGCTAATCCAATACATACTAAACAACTAACATTTCGCCGATAAAAAATAAAAAATAAATAAAAAATAGTCCAATTTTTAAAGCTTCTATATAGCGATCCCGGTTGTCCCTTTACTATTCTGTTGTATTCCGGACTCGGTTCCGTGAAGTTGGTAGTCGTATCTATCTTGTTGTCGTCCTTTAATTCCACTTGATTGAGTTTTAGGATGTTTTGAGCAGGGTTGTTACAGGTTGGTTAGGCCTTGGTTTCAATTCCTTGTTGTCCAGTTTTTAGGCGATCCGCTCGAGCGGGTCTTCTTGCGCTCGAGCGGGGATTGCACACTTCCAGTATTTCGTGTTCCTGCAAAACTTCTGCAGATGTGATTTTTACGCTTGAGCGGGTTTGTTTACGCTCGACCGGTAGCGCTCGAGCGGGTAGTACTTTCTGGGTATAAGTTCTGGGAGGGGGAAATCTACGCTCGAGCGGACTGGTTTTCGCGCTCAAGCGGAAGTGCTTTATTCTTGTGTCTTGGAGCTCGAGCAGGCCTTATTGCGCTCGAGCGTGTCCAGATTTTTGTTCTTGGCGCTCGAGCGTTGTGTTCTCCACTCGAGCGGGTCATGCGTATATGAGTTATCCGCTGGGTGATTTTAAATCACTTTTTCCTTTCCTTTCTCTCTCCTACTTTTTCTAAAACCCATTTCGAGAGCTCCTCTCTCTAAAACCTTGACTTCTCTCTAGGTATTGATCTAGTATGAGTGATTTCCTCACCTTTGGCCTTTACAAAAGAATTGTTGATCGTCGAGGGCTATCTTTTGATCCGAGAAATTCGTGGTTTGGAGCATTTTCGTTTTCTTCACCTTCTTGGTTAGGAGTCATCTTTCGAGGTAGGGATAACCTACTCCTCACTAAGGGTTTTGTCTTTAAATTTTAGTATTTTGAGATGTTGGGGTTGGTTTGGTAATTTTGTGAAAGTTTGGGGCTTTTGTGTAAATTTACAAAAGTTGGGGTTTTACCTATAAAAACCTAGATGCATGTTTGGCATGGAAAAGTGAAAATAATGTCAAGACATTAATGAAAATGGAACCTAAGGGTTGTAATGTTAATTATGGAAAATGCCCTAATTACATTGATTAATTAATTCACATAATTAATTATGAGGAATGAGATATTGATTTGGAAACGTATGAAATTAAAGGGTGTAGTTGGATTATTTATCGCTCACCTAGTTGAAATGTTGATTATATATATCTATTGTTGCATTTATTTTCTGTATAGAAATAACTGCTTTGGGCTATCGGTGGAGGATAGTCTTGATTGTTGTAGACAATGCATGATGATTAGGCAAACTGAAACTAATCACTGGAATGTGTCATTGAGTATGACGGTTGAAAGAATACATTAAATTTATGTGTTGTGTGATGATGTGTATAATTATTGTTTATATGCATTGTGTCGTGTTGGAGGAGATAGGGGATGCACTCCACGGTTTATGGAAAGATAGGGGATGGACCTCTAAACCGGATATTGTTGGGAGGAGATAGGGGATGGACTCCATAGATAGAGCTCATATGCTTATCTAGTGATGTGATGACACAGCTCATATGCTTGTCCTTGGAAGTGTGATAGTGCTCTTATGCATATCTATGGAAGTGATGATATAGCTTGTATGCTTATCTGTTGGTGTGTGATATAGCTAGTATGCTTATCTATTATGAAATGGGAAAGTGTTTAATATGAGTTACTGTCTCATATAAGTTGTTTGGCCAGGTTTTGAACCATGGTTATAAATTGAGAATTGAGAAGAATTGGAAAATGGATTGTGACATCGACTTGTATGTCATGAAACTGTAAAGTGTGATAAGGGAAAGTATCAGTGTTGGCCATCTATCAACTGCTAATCTTTTAGCCATTGTTCATATTTGGTTTAGTGTATTTCTACTGGGCTGTGGCTCACCCTATATGGGAATATCATTTTCAGGTACAGATAGCATGCCACCTCCAAGGACATAGCTTGGGAGGCTAGAGGCGGAGACACTTTTCTTGTCTTATTTCTTTTGATGTATTACTGTAAATTCAAGCCAAGGGCTTAATATGTAATTGAGTTAGTACTCCTTTTTGTAACCAAGTGTTAACTTGGAAAGCTGTAAGCTCGTAGGGCATTTGCTTTTGTCGTTAACATGTAATACTTTTGGTAATGGAATT